CTTGGGACTTCTGAGGAACACGCCGACTTCCAGGCTGGGGGAGGGCTTGACAGGAGCTGCATGTGGTCAGCCCTGGCCGCCTCTGGCCAGTCATGAGGCCTTCATTCTCTGCTGACAAGGCGACGCGGGCTTCGTACGACTTGAAACACATGCAAAAAGTGTCACGCGCTGCCACGCCGGCGGGCGGAGCACGTGTGGTCACGCGGGGGAGGGGGTGTCAGGAGGGGGAGGAGAGACGCTCTCGGGCACGCTGACTTGAAGGATCACGCACTGCCACGCCAGCAGGCGGAGCGCGTGCGGTCGTTAACTCGGAAGCTCCTCGAGGGCTTCGTGGCTACGGCCTCCTCGGGGTCTGTCTTCCTCCTTTCCCCGCCTCCTCCACCATGTCCATCACTCCCTCCTCCTCCTCCTCCTCCTCCTCTTCCTCCTCCTGCTCCTGCTCCTGCTCCTCCTCCTCCTCCTCCTCCTCCTCCTCCTCCTCCTCCTCCTCCTCCTCCTCCCCCCCCTTCCCTTCTTCCCTTCCTCTCTCCTGCTCCTCCATGCCCGTCACTGGGACGTCTGATGGCCCTCCTGAAAGCCCCTTGAAAAAATCGTAGAGGCAAACTTGAAACCCTTTTTCGAACGCTTTTGGAAGCATGTTGTGGGGACACGTTTTCCAGATATCATAAGATGGGTTTTTTGTTACTATTTGGGCGCCTCCTACTCCTCCTCCTTTTTTTCACAACCATCCTGTGGTGTTGGGTCCTCGTTTTGAAGAGACGTCGCCCCGCGTTCCTCCTCCTCCTTCCTCCTCCTCCCCTTCCTCCCCCCTCCTCCCCCTCCCACACCCATTCTGGCACACCCCTCACACGTTTCGTGGCCCCATAGGGAGCTCCACCGAAGGCCCCAGTGGCTGCGCCCGCATGCGGTTCCACCCCCCATGCTGGCACACCCCTCACACGTTTCGTGGCCCCATAGGGGCCCCAGTGGCTGCGCCCGCATGCGGTTCCACCCCCCATTCTGGCACACGACACCACCGAAGGCCGTGGCCCCATAGGCCCCAGCTCCACCGAAGGCCCCAGTGGCTGCGCCCGCATGCGGTTCCACCCCCCATTCTGGCACACCCCTCACACGTTTCGTGGCCCCATAGGGAGCTCCACCGAAGGCCCCAGTGGCTGCGCCCGCATGCGGTTCCACCCCCCATTCTGGCACACCCCTCACACGTTTCGTGGCCCCATAGGGAGCTCCACCGAAGGCCCCAGTGGCTGCGCCCGCATGCGGTTCCACCCCCCATTCTGGCACACCCCTCACACGTTTCGTGGCCCCATAGGGAGCTCCACCGAAGGCCCCAGTGGCTGCGCCCGCATGCGGTTCCACCCCCCATTCTGGCACACCCCTCACACGTTTCGTGGCCCCATAGGGAGCTCCACCGAAGGCCCCAGTGGCTGCGCCCGCATGCGGTTCCACCCCCCATTCTGGCACACCCCTCACACGTTTCGTGGCCCCATAGGGAGCTCCACCGAAGGCCCCAGTGGCTGCGCCCGCATGCGGTTCCACCCCCCATTCTGGCACACCCCTCACACGTTTCGTGGCCCCATAGGGAGCTCCACCGAAGGCCCCAGTGGCTGCGCCCGCATGCGGTTCCACCCCCCATTCTGGCACACCCCTCACACGTTTCGTGGCCCCATAGGGAGCTCCACCGAAGGCCCCAGTGGCTGCGCCCGCATGCGGTTCCACCCCCCATTCTGGCACACCCCTCACACGTTTCGTGGCCCCATAGGGAGCTCCACCGAAGGCCCCAGTGGCTGCGCCCGCATGCGGTTCCACCCCCATTCTGGCACACCCCTCACACGTTTCGTGGCCCCATAGGGAGCTCCACCGAAGGCCCCAGTGGCTGCGCCCGCATGCGGTTCCACCCCCCATTCTGGCACACCCCTCACACGTTTCGTGGCCCCATAGGGAGCTCCACCGAAGGCCCCAGTGGCTGCGCCCGCATGCGGTTCCACCCCCCCATTCTGGCACACCCCTCACACGTTTCGTGGCCCCATAGGGAGCTCCACCGAAGGCCCCAGTGGCTGCGCCCGCATGCGGTTCCACCCCCCATTCTGGCACACCCCTCACACGTTTCGTGGCCCCATAGGGAGCTCCACCGAAGGCCCCAGTGGCTGCGCCCGCACGTGGTTCCCCCCCCCCCCCCCCCCCCCCCCCCCCATTTCGGCACACCCTTCACACGGTTCGTGGCACCATAGAGAGCTCCACCGAAGGTCCCAGTGGCTGCGCTCGCATGCGGTTCCACCACCTGTTTCGGCACGCCCTTCACACGTCTCGTGGACCCATAGGGAGCTCCACCGAAGGCCCCAGTGGCTGCGCTCGCAAGCGGTTCCACCCTCCATTTCGGCACACCCCTCACACGTTTCGTGGCTCCATAGGGAGCTCCACCGAAAGCCCCAGTGGCTGCGCCCGCATGCGGTTCCACACCCTATTCTGGCACACCCCTCGCACGCTCCGTGGCCCCATAGGGGGCCCCAACAAAGGTCCCAGTGGCACTGCCCGCTTGCGTCCGCCACCACGCAGCACAGCCCTTGTTCCCTGCGCTTCGCCCGCCCAGAACAGCGCTTCGTAGCCCTATAGGGAGCCCCACCAAAGGTCCCAGCGGCACCGCCCGCATGCGTCCGCCACCACCCTGCACACCCCTTGCTCCCTGCTTGCGTTTCACCCACCCAGCGCAGCGTTCCGTGGCACCACAGGGAGCTCCACCGAAGGTCCCAGTGGCACCGCTCGCATGCGCCCGCCACCACGCAGCACAGCCCTTGTTGACCGCGTTTCACCCACCCAGTACAGCGCTTCGCGGCCCCATAGGGAGCCCCACCGAAGGTCCCAGTGGCACCGCCCGCATGCGTCCGCCACCACCCAGCACAATTGCGGCATTCACAACTGCATATGGTTGGGTCCTTCGCCAGGCTAATTCTCCGCCCTTTTCCCGTCCCCTCCTCTTCTCGCCCCCCCCATGCGAGACTTACTCATGTCCAGACTTATTCACGCACAGACTTACTCATACTGAGGCCTACTTATATTCAGACTTACTCATACCCAGACGTACATATACACAAACTTATTCATACACAGACTTACTCATATTCAGACCCAGGCGTACATACACAAACCTACCCATACACAGACTTAATCCGATTCAGACCCATAAGTACACATGCACGTATTTACTCATACACAGGCTTACTCATATTCACTCATACCCATACGTAAACACACACAGACTTACTCATACTCAGCCTTACGCACACCCAGACTTACTCATACCCATACGTATTCATACACATGCACACTCATAATCAGACCTTCTCATAATCTGACTTACTCAACACACGCGAAGCGGATCTCAAGCGGGGCGCTGGTTTCAGCACCCCTAAGGGGCGCCGCCAGGGGTGGTTGCACGGGCCCGTTCGCGGCCAGTTTGTGGGGATGTCTCGCGCGGTTTGCCCGTTTTCATGCCCAACATCCTTTGCTCCCGAAGCAGATTCTGAGGATGTTTCTGGCGGGGCGCTGGTTTCAGCACCCTGAAGGGGGGCCGCCAGGGGTGTTTGCATGGGCCCGTTCGCTGCCAGTTTGTATACATGTCTCGGGCGGTTTGCTCGCTTGCATGCCCAGCATCCTTGGCTTTCAGAGCAGAATGCGAGGATGTCTCAGGCGGGGCGCTGGTTTCAGCACCTCTAAGGGGAGCCACCAGGGGTGTTTGCACGGGCCCGTTCGCTGCCAGCTTGTGGGGGGTGTCTCAAGCGGTTTGCTTGGTTTCATGCCCGACGTCCTTGGCTTTCAGAGCAGATTGTGAGGAAGACTCAAGCGGGGCGCTGGTTTCAGCATCCTTAATGGGAGCCGCCAGGGGTGTTTGCACGGGCCCGTTCGCGGCCAGTTTGTCGGGGATGTCTCTAGCGGTTTGCTGATGCCCAACATTCATGTTTTTCAAATCAGATTCTGAGGATGTCTCAGGCGGGGCGCTGGTTTCACCATTCCTAAGGGGAGCCACCAGGGGTGTTTGCGCGGGCCCGTTCGCTGCCAGCTTGTGGGGGGGTGTCTCAAGCGGTTTGCTTGTTTTCATGCCCAACGTCCTTGGTTTGCACAGCAGATTGTGAGGATGACTCAAGCGGGGCGCTGGTTTCAGCATCCTTAATGGGAGCCGCCAGGGGTGCTTGCACGGGCCCGTTCGCTGCCAGATTGTCGGGGATGTCTCAAGCGGTTGGCGCGTTTCCATGCCCAACATCCTTGGCTTTCAGAGCAGATTTTGAGGATGTCTCAGGCGGGGCGCTGGTTTCAGCATTCCTAAGGGGAGCCGCCAGGGGTGTTAGCATGGGCCCGTTCGCGGCCAGTTGGTGGGGGTGTCTCAAGCGGTTTGCTCGTTTGCATGCCCAACATCCCTGGCTTTCAGAGCAACTTGTGAGGATGTCTCAGGCGGGGCGGCGGGGCCGCCAGGGGTGTTTGCATGGGCCCGTTCGCGGCCAGTTTGTGGGGATGTCTTAAGCGGTTTGCTCGTTTTCATGCCCGACACCCTTAGCTCCCAGATCAGATTCGGGGGATGCCCCAGGCGGGGGCGATGGGTTCAGCACCCCCAAGGGAGGCCGCCAGGGGTGTTTGCAAGGGCCCATTCGCGGCCACGTTGCGCGGGTGTCTCACGCGGTTTGCGCGTTTCCACGCCCGACATCTCAAGACAGGGTGTGAGGATATCCCAGGCGGGGCGCTGGTTTCAGCACCCTTGAGGGGAGCCGCCAGGGGTGTTTGCGCGGGCCCGTTCGCGGCCAGTTTGCGGGGGTGTCTCAGGCGGTTTGCTTGTTTTCATGCCCGACATCCTTGGCTGCAAAACGGATTTTGAAGATGTCTCAGTTGGGGCGCTGGTTTCAGCACCCCGAAGGGGGGCCGCCATACGGGTGACGCATACTCACTCATTCGCATTGGGATTCGCTCGTCTTCGTCGCCCCTGTCGCCCATGTGGGCGCGCTATTTTAATAAAGCGCTCATGAACAGACGCTCACTCTGGCATGACATAAACCATGAGATGCACATATGGGGGGCCCCACGCAGTGAATCATGTCTCCCCGCGCGGCCGAGGCCTCGAGTTAATTCATGCGCCGAGCGACGGCGTGGCCAGCGCGAGCGGAGGCCACTCGCGGCGGGAGCATTTTTAATTTTTCGAAGCAACGAGCGCCAAGGCGCGTGCGCGCATGCATTCGGCAACGTCCGAAGAGCTCCTCGGGGCCCCCTCGGGCCCCAAACGAACTCCACGGCAAGAAACAATTCAATTCACTGCGCATCAGCAACCGCCGCCAGGCCGAAGGGGCGGGCGGCGTTCAGAATCCAGCGGTCGGCGGGGGGCCGCTCACATTGAACGCCGCCAGTTGCAGCGCCGTTTGGAGGGCGTCTGCCACGCCCATCCTTTCCAGAAGCCTGAGGGGGGCACCGCTGAGGCGCAGCGCCTGCCAGTTGCCGCGCTGAAGGCTGAAAGCTTCAACGGAGTCCCGAAGGGCGAGCCGCATCTGGCCCCCGCGCGCGCCCTCGGAAGATGACGTCGAGGGTCCAGCTGGAGCCTGCCCAACGACTCTGGCGAGGCCTGAGGCTGGCTCCAGGCCGGGGCCGACGGGGATGCTGCGCATGCCGCCGCCGAGAGTCGCCGCCGGCTCGACCTTCTGCTTGCTTCCCCTGGGCTCGGGATCCAAGGAGCGCGCCAAGCCGCGCAACGGGATCTCAGCAGCCGCCGCCCCCGCCGCTGCCGAAGAAGAGCCCGTGCCGCGCAGCCGAACGGGTGAGGGCGAGACCCTCGGGAGCACCACGGTCGCCGAAGGCGCCGCCGCCTGTCCGCCCGCCGCCGAGCCAGACGCGGCGGCCGCCGCAGCGCCTGAAGCCCCGTCATGTGCACCATCATCGGCATTCCGAACGTCTCCTGGCGCGGACTCCGGAGGTGCAGCAGCGCGAGGTGGCGGGGCAGCGGGAGCACGAGAAGCCGCCGCCGAACCAAGCGCCACAGCCAGCGCCGCGCCCACGCGCGCGGGGCGGCACCCACGGTGCTTGAGGGCGCCGAAGGCGCGGAGCAACGCATGAGCTGCTCGCGCCAGCGCGCGCCTGGCATGGGCGGCCGCGCAGGCGCCCCGGAGGCAAGCCAGGGCGGGGCCGACATCCCCAACCGCGGAGGGGGCGCCGCGGAGGAAAGGCGGGGAGAGGGCCCGCGGGGGGCAGCGGCCGAGGGGCCGCCTGGCGCGGACTCGCAAGCCGCGCGCCAGGCGACAGCCTGAGCCGAGTTGGCGCTACGGTGGGGGCATTGGATGAGGAAACATTGGATAAGGAATCCAGGGTCTGGAAGCCAGTGGAACTCCAGTCGCGGATTGTCAGTGGATATTAGCGACGCCCTCATCAGATAAGGAACTCTCCAGTGTCTGAAGCCTGCCGCTCACGTTCCTTAACCAACGCGCCCACCGTATGCAAAGGTCTTGGGTCTCTTTGGCCGTCTTGGAACCGTCTTGGGCCATCTTGGGCCGTCAGGTGCCTCTCCCGGGACCCTGCTGGGGCATCTTGAGGCCCATTGGGCCTGCTTGGGCTCTAATTGTAGCGTTCTGGGCGCAGCTTGGTCCGTCTTGGGGTAATCTTGGGTGCCTCATTGGCCGTCTCGGACGCTCTGAAGACGAAGGAAGCGAGGACGCTAAAATCACAATGGGAAAAAAAAAATGGGTCATGATTTTCACCTCTCGGGGGCCTCTTGGAGGTACCATTGGAGCATTATTGAGGCGTCCTGCCATCCTGGACCGTTTGGGACATGTCTTGGCCGTTTTGGCGGCCTCCTGGCGCGTTCGGGTGTCGACGTTGTGCCTTCGACTATACTCTTGAAGCCGAAATAACCCGCCGGCGCTCAGAAAAAGAGCTCCGAACGCCGGGGGGGAAGCGGGTCCCGGGGAGTGGCCCAATTTGTCATTCTGCGCCAGGGGCGGCCAGGGGGCCTAACTTGGGCCTCTTGGGACCTACTGGAGCTTCTGGGGGGCTTCGTGGACGGCTGCTGGCGGTCTCGGAGGTCGTCTTGGGGCGGTGGGCTCGAATGTCGATTCGTGTCACCTCCTCCTCCTCCTCCTCCTCCTCCTCCTCCTCCTCCTCATCGTCGCCATGTTCCTCCTCCTCCCCCTGCTCCTCATCCTACCCCTCCTCCTCCTCCTCTTCTCCTCATCCTCCTCCTCCTCCTCCTTCTCGGCGCCCTGCTCCTCCTCCTCCTCCTCCTCCTCCTCCTCC